CGCAGGGTGCACCCTGCCAGCAGCTGCCACCGCCAGCGCGCCTCCTTGTCGTACGATACGCTGACGCATGCCAAATAGCGTGATCTCCTTATAGCTGCGCCGTGCATCTGCCAACTCCCGTTCCAGGGCCACGGCACACGCGGACAGTGGCGGCGGGGCTTGCTGCCGGCGGGTGGGTATGCCCTCTTGCAGCGGCGGGCGGCAGCGGCGGCGGTGGCCCCAGCTCGCTGGAGCATGCCGTCGGCCAGCGTGACAAGCAGCAACCTGTCGCAGCCGGCAAGTAAAACGCCGCCGAACGCGTCGCCCAGTGCGGCGTATTCGAGGACGGCGACTGTGTAGTGCAGCAGCCCAATGGGGAATTGGCCCACAGGGGACATGTAGAGGGGCTGCTCAAAACGCACGCGGCCGAGGTAGACGCCTGTGACCGGGTCACTGATGTGCAAAGTGGCTGCGGCCAGGCCACGCGGCGGCGGGCTGACGGTCATGAGCAGCTCTAGCACGTCCAGCTGGCCCTCTGAGAGTGGCTGCAGGTCAAAGGCGGCGGTGCGCTTGTGCACTCCGGACAGCACGCAGTGGCCCCAGAACGCCGAAGCAGCTGTCTGGGTACGCCGAGCGGCAGCCGCTATGTACTAGCCATGTCCCGCCGTTCCTCTCCAGGCGGGTCCACGCACTAGCGCTGCCCGCGGACTGCGGGGCCTCGCCTCCCGCAATCGTGGTAGCAGTGACAGGAGGGAAAGTGTGGGGAGGAGCAAGGGGAGAAACAAAGGGAGGCAAAAACAGGGGGGTGAGGAACACGATGTAGAACGGTGCGCGTCGGCGTCGCGGGGTCAGACCTGCAGTGTGATTGTCGTTAAGGAATGGCGCCGGCGCCGCGCACAATCGCGCCCCGTCCCCGCATGCCGCGCCACTTCCCTCAAGCAGCGGTAGGGGGTGCAGCGGTGACGGCGGGGTCACAGGAGCAGTAGGCGATGTACGTAGACACGGCAGGCATACCCCGTGCAGCAGGCAGGCGGGTGCATGAGGAATGTTGTGAGAAACGCGGCAGGCAAAGCTGGTCGTATGTGACAGATCATGTTGGAAGACATGGCAATACCAGTCACCTGGCAATCAAGAGATTGTCACTACTGGATCAAGGCGCTGACAATCCAAAGGCACATTGAGATGCAAGACAAGGTGAGCGAAGCGACGCGGATTTTCATACAAGCAACGGGGCGTCGACGATATGGATGCGGACTCGTTGCCCGCCTGCTGCCCGCGCCCCTCGCTCCGCAGAGGGGCTCAGCCACTTGCTGCGCGAGCCTCCTGGGTAGCTGGATATGGCAGATGAAAACACGCGATCTGCGAGATGAACTGCAATGAAAGTGTACCTCGACTACCTTGGGAGCCGTGGTCGGCCGTCACCCCCTCACCTGGGGCCCTCAGTGGCGAGTGTGCGGGAAGCAGCCGAGCGCGTGGGGTGCCCCCGCCCGTACCCGTTCCATCGGGACTCGTATCACAAATCACCCGAATGTATTCCAGAATCGCGTGTGGCCATGCATTGATGGGCTGCGGTGAGTTAGGCCGCAGGTCGGGCAGCGGGGCGGTTGCAGGTGCGTCCCGTGTCGAGCGCAACGGCACGGTGGCTGCGCCTGTGGATTCATATGGGTGGTGTGCACTGGCAGAGCAATTCCTAGTTTGTCTTCTGTGGTCCTTCTCAAGCAACGGCGCCTGACCAAAGCCTTGCTGTTGCGGTGTGGATGCTGCATCGCGTGCAGCCCCATGACTGATGTGGTGACTTACCGTGGGCGGCCATCACCTCCGCACGCCGCCGCACTTGTGACACTCTTCACGGCTTGATGAGGCCAGAAAATTCTTAATTACACTCTTGAATCCATTCCACGTGCCCTTGGGGGACCTGGCGCAATCGAGATTGGCCTTAGTCTACTTGATATGAACTTGCGTAGTAGAGCTTGATCGGCGCCAAAAAGCTCCGATTCGATGACAACGCTTCTTTCAAGCATATTGGGCCCAGATCCAGCCGTTTGTAGGCTCTGCCGGCGCGGACTGCCTGGAATAATACACCGGGGACATTGCCACTGGCAAGACAACAGTCTCCAAACGCCCCACCTCTACAGTTCCATGCTTATAACTTCTTAACGGATGCTTCGAATGAATACCAGGGCTGCATAGCACTGCACTGAAATCCCTACCCAACTCCATCCACCTATCACCCGACGCGGTCTCGGCCGCAGTAGACAGTCAGTGGTCCTAACTTTGCACCATTATGAGTGTAATCTAGCTTGAGGGGCGCACGGCCAGGCGGGGAGACGATAGTGATGGCGCAGCAGCACGGGGCCGAGGGTGCCTTCGTAAGGGGCGACTCCCTTCGATCCCTGTTCCTTCAGGATCAACAGTTCGTTGCCATGGGGTCCGGCCCCTCGGGGACCCCGCAACTAGCAGCGTCATCGGGGCCAGCCGTGGGCTGGGGTGGTGCCATGCTTCCCGCTGATGTTGGGCAGAGGGTTCCATGGTTCGGCCGCAGCAGCAGGAAGGCGGCCGGGGCCTACCGACAGCAGCGGGGCATGGGCGCGCCGCATGGCGGCGCGGCGCAGCCGCCCACTGCTGCGGCCAACCCAGCACACGCACAGGGCGCAGCGCCGAGCAGCGCACAGGTGGGTCCGCTCTGTGATTGGCGCAGCAGTAGAGGCGCCTGCATGAGGCAGCATGTGTTGTCCGCTGTTGACGGGGGACCCCGTCAGCTTCATCAGTCTCAGGGCTTCCCGCTGCTGGATACATCGCATTACGCGCCTGCACGTCCCTCACCCCTGCCTTGCTCCCCTCGGCGGACCCAACACAACCCCCGCCCGCACTGCCAGGACGCCCTGTCCGTCGACGAGGCCGTCGCGCTCATGAAGCGCCTCCCGCGCGGCGAGCCACTGCCCGAGCGCCTGCTGCGCGCGCTGCGCCACCTCGACAGCCGCGCGGCGGCCCTGCTGCTGAAGGACCTCTCCAAGGCCGGCCTGGACGAGCGCGCGATCGAGCTGTTCGACTGGCTGCGCGCGCTGCCCGAGCGCCACGTGCTGCGCGCGCTGTGCGACGTCTACACCTACACTGCGATGATCAGCCTCTGCATCTACCAGCAGAACGTGGACCGCGCCATGGAGCTGCTGGCAGAGATGCGGGCGCGCGGGGTTGAGCGGAACGTGCACACCTACACAGCGCTCATGAACGTCTGCATTAAGGTGGGGTGCGGGGTCGCCCGGCCGAGGACGGCGGCGGGGCGCACGGCAGGCGGCGGCGGCGACGGGGGCTTCCGGGGCGAGGGCCCGCGCCGCAGAGCGTGGCGCCAAGCGGGCAGGGACTCGCACACGATTGGCTGGCACAAGGGGGCCCCGTGGCGGCTCGCTGCGTCTTCACGAGCAGCGGGGCGCGGCGATACACCGCAGCGCGTGCTGACGTTGGTTGCGCGCGGGCCGCCGTTGCGCCCCCTCTTGCCCTGGTGCAGTGCGGCAAGATGGCGGCGGCGCTGGACATCTTCAACAACATGCGAGCCGAGCGCTGCACGCCCAACGTGGTGACGTACAACACTCTCATAGACGTCTGCGGCAAGCTGGGGCAGTGGGACCGCGCGCTGGGCGTGATCAAGCTGATGCGCAGCGAGGTGGGGGCGCCAGGGGCGGGGGCATGGTGTTGGGGG